GCAGGCCCAATCAACATCCTGAGATGGAGAGGATCAGGGGCAAGCAAGACAATGTACAAGGCTTACATCTGTCTGTTTGTATGTTTTGCTACTTCAGCAACACATCTGGAACTGGTAACGGACCTCACAGCGGAGGGATTCATCGCAGCGTACAAACGCTTCACATCGAGACGGGGCATCTGTGCAACCCTGTCCAGCGACAGGGGTGTCAACTTCATCGGGGCAGAGAGAGAACTTCAAAGGTTATTCGATCAGGCATCAAGCGAATCGGCAACTACCAGGGATCAGCTAGCATCCGACGGAACGCAATGGAAATTCAACCCTCCTCACTCGCCGCATATGGGAGGCAAGTGGGAGGCTGCAGTGAAATCAACGAAACATCATCTACGAAGGGTCATCGGAACCTCGACCTTGACGTACGAAGAATTTACGACTCTTCTGACGCAAGTCGAGGCCATACTTAACTCTCGACCACTCTGCCCACTCACAAACGACCCGCAGGACACATCAGCCCTGACACCAGGACACTTCATCATAGGAGAAGCGCTCACGACAATTCCAGAGCCTTCACTTCAGCAGATCAACACAGCAAGACTGAACAGATGGCAAATCATCTCCCAGAGGCTTCAGAATTTCTGGGAACACTGGGCACGAGAGTGCATTCATCGTTACCAGCAAATTTATCGGTGGAAGCAGCCAACGAACGAAGTAAAAATCGGTTCGTTGGTCCTCATCATTGACGAGCGGGAGCCACCAGCCAAGTGGCCTCTGGCTCGAGTCATCGCAATTCATCCGGGACAAGACAACCTGACCAGAGTTGTCACACTGAGGAAAGGCAATCAGGAGACTCAAAGGTCCATCCACAGGCTGGTGCCTTTGCCGATCAACGACGACCTTTTGGAAGGTCAATAGTGACACGTCATCATAATCATCAGCTATACATCGTCACCTGGAGGTGACGCAGGGCGGGCGGGATGTTGAAAATCATCCGTCAGTCGGGCTAAATGTCGAATTTTGCTCGCTCGGCAACCTTCGGGGATCGACGAACACGCACGAGGACGATCGTGCGTGTCGTATCTTTAGTCCGCCATCGATCTTCATCGAGTGAAAGTGCCGGAAAATGATCGCATCTATTGTCGAACATTATCACTGCAAATCATCTTTTTGTTAATTTGTATACAGTCCACTCGGAAATCATCTATTTATTAAACTCTGTGTTGTGTAATTTTCAGTGCATAATTATTTGCTCATCAAATTACCTCCGGCTAATCATCAACCCGTTAACCCGAACCTCACTTTTCCTCCCGACCACCCGGCTCATCAAATCGTGATTGATTTCTAACAGACGGTTTTTTGAAATGTTAATAACTCAGTAGCGAAGCGATACAACGATTGAAATAGACTTGGCCCTTAGCTGCGTTTTCAAGGAATATCTCCGGATCTAAGGGAGATAGCGAAGATTTCGTGATAATCTTTTTTGTAACCGACGTCGGTGGCCGGAGCCGCTAGGTGCGAGCCTAGTGTGCGAAAGGTTGTGAGTTCGATTCCCCGTGGAACCGAGTTTTTCAACCGGAGGCTCCGGCGAGCGGGAGGTTGCTAATATAGTGACCGCCTGTACCGGCATGGATTTTCTGTGGTTTCCCATGCTACTCCTATGTTCTATAGGAGTGCGAATGCGGTGCAGTGTAGAATCCCACAGCCGCATGCATAGGGTTGGATAGGGTCGATTAGCCAATCGGAGGGCAGAAAGAGCCGGAATATAAAAAAAAAAAAAATCTTTTTTGTAGAGAGAATTGAGGACTGCGAGAAAACTTACAACAATTTTGTTATCTCCCTTAGATTTCGAGATATTCATTAAAAACTGTCCAATAGTCAAAATCGACATAAATCTTTTTACTGCTTCGCTACTGAACTTATCGAATGGTTAACGCAATGAAATAATTTTTTCATCACGCTGTGACGAAAAGTGAACTTTTCGGCACGCTCCGCGTGCCTAAAAGTCCAATTTCCGCCACATTGTGATGAAAAATATTGTTCGTAACTCATGAAAAAATGTTTTTTAGCTCGTGGGATTATATCACTCGCCTTCGGCTCGTGGTATAAACCTCCCGCTCGCCAAAAAACACTTTTTTGCACTCGTTACGAAATATACTATTTTCTTTCATGGAAATTACAGTCCTTCTCCTTGGCATATTTTGATACTGACAAAGCATTTTTTGTGAAAATGACTCATAACGCACAATGAAGTCTCTTCATTAATTTTCACAAATGTGTATTAAAACAAACTACTTATTGAATTCTACTAAATAATGATGTACCATCCCCATTACACATTGTGCAATTTGAGTTCCATGTTACTCAATGCAAACTTGTATATATTTTTATCTATTCCCAAATCGATGTTTACTCGAAGATGTTAAGAGGACAGGTTTTTTATTAACATTAAAAATATTTAATTATGTAATTCAATTGCCATCGGCCAGCGAGCGATGGAATCGAACTTTGAGGGTAACGCCCGGCTTGCGTCCAATACCGCCCATCTTGTTTTAATGATTTTTTTGAGCAATGCTGACCAAGTGTTATAATTTTTCCTATTTTCATCCTTCGGTTACATTCTTTGACTCCATTTTGAGAAAGATTTCACCTGAATAATAATAAATTATCCGCAATTTACCCGACATTTCAGTGGCTACCGACTACCCCAAACAATCCAGCTGTCACTCGACTGCCCTATAGAAACCCTGGATGGTATTACCTACAAACTCTGGTCGGAATTACCCCTAAAACCCGGAGGCTCATAAGATAGCCAATAATAACTGATGAAGATATTTTTCTGCTATCGAAAAGGTCGTAATGAATGTGGAAATGTATAACGAACATATATTTCGCACTCTATTTAATTATGGACCAATTGAAAATTTGAAAAATCTTATTCTAGGATCGAAATATTTTACGAATCTTGTAGGAAATAATTTGGATTTTTTTTTAACAATGTTTCCACGCGAGAAAATTGAACATTTCTGTTAAAATTACTTGTTGTTATCAAATATTTGCATAATAAAAAAAGAAGAAAGATTTTTTCTCAGCCAATCCTGCGAAATACGTGTAGGCGGTATTACACGCTCGGCTGTACAGGCATCAGCTACATTACAAAACTTCTATTCGAAAGCAAAAAGTCACGAGTATACACTGAGAGAAAACCAGCATAGTGATTAAACAAGTCTTACTCATGCAAAAAAAAAATCTTTTTTTTTTCTAATTATCGAAAAAGCATTTTTTTGTGTCAAACATACGAAGTGTGCACCGAGATTTAAAAATTTTGGTGCATCAATACATTTTCTAGTACTACTTCTCCGTTATTCGATGCTCCAATACGTATTTTGCTCCCGGCAAATGCTCGTTCTATATGAAACGAGAGATAGTAGTTTGTCGTTTCGACTATGCAATAATCACAGACAACAAATGAATTCTTAAATGAAATAATAACGATATGACAGCAATCTTGTAACTTGGGTACAAAATATTCCTTGATGAACTTCCTTCTATCAAACATATTTTTATCCTGAAAAGGCACCACGAGTATGAACGACCCGCCTCTCGAGCCAAATATTTCGTTGTTGTTGAAAGCAGAATAATTATTCATGTTTAAGACTTAAATTCGAACCAAACAATTATTATTTTAGGAATTTTCCACTAACGATTTTGTTGGCCTAAAAAGAACTTATTTGAGAACTTGTTCGTTTTTCTCCCAGTGTACAATATCATTTACTAAAGTTCTGAAACAATCTGAAGTTGCATCCTATGTCTTTTGTTTCAGAACTTTAGTAAACGAGTGTACTTTGGCCTCACCCTCACCGACGGATCAAACGACAACCTGTTTTTCTGTGATCCATTTTAATTGAACATGTGATCATCGAAAAAATCATCATCAGTAGGATGAAAACTATTTGGAATATTCTCTCCAAACGGCATCAAATTATCTATATGAAAGGCTTTTTAACGAATTTCTATCATTTTCTTTCAAAAATTGTTCTTGGATTTTAAAAATTTACAACGATCAAGTTTGCTTCACCTAATTTTATTTGTTTCTTTCCGAAAATGATGTTCATATGAGCCCTAATACTTTGTGTTTACACTTACCGTAACAAATCCTGGTTACTTTCAGCCTTCCATTGTAAATAATGGCTACATCACTGATGACATCGTCGATTTTCGCATCAACGAAGGTATCGTAAAGAAATTGGCTCTCGTCCCCTTTTTTCACGTGCAGACGAACCATGCTATTTTGTTTTCGACAACCCTTCAGAGACAGCTAAACTCGTTGCGTTAAGCAAACATTACCTGAATCAACAAGACCAGCTCACGTCGTTGCCCTGGCAACCCCGATCATTGATCAAATCTAATGGCGTCTGAAGGAATCATGTCGATCAAGAGGAGTTTTGTACCAATCAAAATGTACCTCACAGATTTCCTTTGAATTTAATAGAGAATGCAAATTATTATATCTTTATATAAATCGGTAACAAGTCAATGGGATTTCGTTCGTCGTTTCTATCATTAGTTGATAAAGGAATGTTTCTAGAATGAAATAATGTTTATGGAACTGAAAGAAAGAAGTTATTCGTATGAATGGAATAATTGTTTGAAGTCCTCTAATGATAAATTTGCGATTTTTTTCATTTAAGTGCAGAATGAAAATCCCCTGACAATTCCATGAATAATTTCAGTAATCGTTGCCTTACCCCAATCTCCGAATAACTAAATTGTTTTATGGGACTATGAAAACTTTGATTAATTTAGTTATTCATAATTGAGTTGAATTGCCGGTTTAAGGTTCAAGGAATAAACGTTGAAGCTTACGGCATATGGATCAATCAATTCCTAGGATATCCAAGTATATTTTACAGTTTGGTACAGACCATATTGATTTAACCATTTTCAATCATGAAATTTGTAATTTAAATTGCGTGGAAGAAATTTGAAAAACATCATGAATATTCAATGTTATTATCCAGCCAACAATTTACCGGTCATTTACCGGTCTTAGTAGGGACTTTTAGATGGTATCCGTAAAAAATGTTCCCTGGGTGGAATAACATTTTGTATAGTTTTTTTTATCATTCGTTGTTTATAAATGAATAATTGAAATTGTTTAAATTTCCCGTTTTTCCTTTATCATTAACCTCCATAAAAGTTAAAAATTTCTATTTCTTTTTCATTTATCTATTCTCTCATGTGAAAAGGAGATGTCACACGTTTAGTTTTATGCCTCTGAAAACTTTCTCACCGTGTAAATAATTTTCTTCAGCATATTGAAAAATTAGAACATTGCAATTTAAGGCCTGGGTGTACTATCTTTCGAATGCGATCTCGGTGTTTTTTTTCATCTTTCGTCATCTGAAATTGTCAATTAAGTCCTACATCATGCAGAAGTTTTGAAAAATTATGTATGAATAATCAAAAAAAAGTAGAAAAAATTCTTAATTTTTTCAAAGAGCTTTTTCAATTTATATTCAGAATAAGTTGAATAACAAGGAATTGAAAAATGTATCTGATTTACGGTGACAAATGGCGGCCTGTCAGCCAATATCATGCAGGGGAAGACTGATTTTGTAAATCTTTTCCCACACTGCACAGAGACATTTATTGCGGAAAAGACTTTTTGAAAAACGTTGTAATATTTTGGAGAATTTTTTAATCACACCTTTATCACATAAAAATGGCAGATGGCTGCATACCACTGTTTTGAAAATTGAGATACCTAGCTATTCTATGCTATGTTTTAAGGCCGTCCAACAACGAAGGTTTTACGGGCCGTTATCCCCCTAGAGGGACGTTACTGAACTTCATTTTGAACAGTGATAAAGTAGATTTCACAATTTTTGGTCTTCAGTTTGAATCTTCTTTTGAATTTTCTTGAGATAGTTATAAATTAATTGACAGATATTATCCTTAGGTGATTTCATCAATTTGTAGATATTATATGAATAAATATCTAATTTATTCAAAGCTTTAACAAAAATGGTTCTTTCTTCTTTATATTTAGGGCAGATCCAGAAAATATGAGTTAAGGTTTCTTTGGAATTTGCATTACAATCACACATTGGAGATTTGATGTAGTTTTTTCTTGCTAAACTTTCGTTCAAATTAAAATGATTAGATCTCATGCGGTTGATTGTTGTGATCACTGGTCTATTCAAGTTGGAATATTTGGACCAGGGTGGTCGCCATCCTAAGTAGAATTTCTTGAAGTAATCAGATCCTTTATTATGTTCCGCTTGATTTTTGAGAATTATTGAGGTGTCTTCACGCATCTTCTTATTAATAATGTAGTAAAAATCCGTGTATGGGATAAGGATCCGTTGAAGTTCTCCCGAGTGGCAAGCCTTTTTTGCAAGTTTGTCAGCTTTTTCGTTACCTTCCAAATTTATGTGGGCAGGTATCCACANAATATTTGAACCAGGGTGGTCGCCATCCCAAGTAGAATTTCTTGAAGTAATCAGATCCTTTATTATGTTCCGCTTGATTTTTGAGAATTCTTGAGGTGTCTTCACGCATCTTCTTATTAATAATGTAGTAAAAATCCGTGTATGGGATAAGGGTCCGTTGAAGTTCTCCCGAGTGGCAAGCCTCTTTTGCAAGTTTGTCAGCTTTTTCGTTACCTTCCAAATTTATGTGGGCAGGTATCCACATGAAGATGATTTCTATTCCCATTGATTTTTTAGCAACCCAGCTATTAAGTATTTCATAGATTAGGTAAGAGGGATTATTATAAACAGAGAAATTCGCCATTGAAGATAGGACACTCAAAGAATCAGATAAAATAATAATCTTTTCTGTATTCAGATTGGGTGATTCGTTGATTGCAGTGAGTATAGCCGAAGCCTCAGCAGTGAATATTGATGCAAACGAAGATATTTTATGTTTGATTTCTACATTGAAGTCTGGAATATATACTGAGTAGCCTACATAATTTGCATCATCGTTTTTTGATCCATCAGTATATATTTGAGAATAGTTTTGAAGTTCTAGATTATGAAGGTCCTCTTGCAGAGTTTTTTCTGCCGAAGTCGATTTCTTGATCAATGAACCCTTGTTGAGAATTATTCTCGGGTCCGAGTTAATCAATTCATATGAGTATGAAAAATTACATGGTTGAGGTGCAGCTTTAATTTTAGTTATGTGCGTAGTCAAATAGGTAAATGATTGAAATAGTGGAAATCCATTCTCAATATTATGTATACCTTTATTAGAATTCAGGCGTAGTGCTGATCGTAGTGAGTAAAGTTTATCAAAGAGTAAATGCTGGGAATAGGAAAATACTCTAGTAATATATCTATTTGAAAGTTGTTTGATTCGGATGTTCAGAGGAGCTTCACGGGCCTCAGCCAACATAACATTGATTGGCGTGGAATTCCTATATCCAAGAGCGAGTCTAATGGCTTTATACTGAATTCTGTCGATTCTTTCCTTGTGAGATAGATTGGATGGCAATATTATTTGACATCCATATTCAATGGAACTTCGTATCAGACCACGATATAGTGTCAATAAACAACGAGGATCAGATCCAAACCAAGTGTTACGAAGAACACGTATAAGGGCGACGGTTTTAGTATTCTTCTCAGCTAAGTAGGTCAAGTGATGTTTGAAGGTTAGGCGATGATCAAGGGTGATTCCTAAAAATTTGACAGTATTTTCTGCTTTGAGAACTTGATTGCAAACATTAATTGAGTAGTCCGAGGGTTTAAAATTCTTTCTGGAAAAGATGATCAGGTGGGATTTCTCAGGTGATATGGATAACTTCCTTTTATTTAAAAATTGAGAAATTTTAGAGATTGATTTCTCAATTTTTCGTAGGGTAGTGTTGATGTCAAGACTTCGTTGAAATATGGCTACATCATCAGCAAATGAAACTATTTCAATTCCTGGTTCAAGAACATCTGGAAGCTTGGAGACATAAATGTTGGATAAGATTGGGCTTAAAACGCATCCTTGGCCCGTTCCTTTATTCAGAGGGTGCGGGTCTGAGAGATGACCTCCTACAACAAAATGAGCTCTTCTATAAGCAAGAAGGAAGTAAATGAAAGTTGCAATCTTGTACGGTATTCCAATGTCCGCCAAGTCTTGGTAAAGTGTGAGAGGATCTACGTGGTCAAAAGCTCCTTTTATATCGAGAAAAAAGGCGGGGATGTATTCTCTGTTCGCAAAACCAGTGAATGCTTCCGTCGTTAATATCGCTAAGTTGTCAGTACATGATTTAAGCTAACGAAAACCAAATTGCGAAGGAGGAAAAATATTTTCATTTTCCAACCACCATGAAAGTCTACTGGAGATAATCTTTTCACATAATTTTAGGAAGCAAGGAGCTAAAGTGATTGGGCGAAATTTTCCAGGTTCGGGTTTTGGGATGAGAAAAACTAAAAAATCACGCCATGCATCAGGAAATTTTCCTTCTTGTAAAAGTTTGTTAAAAATCTTGAGTATAATTTCTTCGTATGATTTTGGGAGAGATTCAATTAGTCTATAATCAATTTAGTCAAGTCCTGGAGAGGAGTCCTTTTTGGTTTTCTTCAAAGCTGCTTCAAACTCCTTGAATGTGAAATTATTCTCAAGCGTGTCAGAGGATTTAAAGGGAGNATAATTTTAGGAAGCAAGGAGCTAAAGTGATTGGGCGAAATTTTCCAGGTGCGGGTTTTGGGATGAGAAAAACTAAAAAATCACGCCATGCATCAGGAAATTTTCCTTCTTGTAAAAGTTTGTTAAAAATCTTGAGTATAATTTCTTTGTATGATTTTGGGAGAGATTCAATTAGTCTATAATCAATTTTGTCAAGTCCTGGAGAGGAGTCCTTCTTGGTTTTCTTCAAAGCTGCTTCAAACTCCTTGAATGTGAAATCATTCTCAAGCGTGTCAGAGGATTTAAAGGGAATTTGAGGGGGTGGAGGAGGTGTATAGTCTTGAGGTAAATTAGGACAGAATTCCGTGATAAAATCTTGCATTTTTTCTGACGATTCCGTATCTTGTTGAGGTATCAAGTTTGGGTTGTGTGAATTTCTATTTTTATACCATTTAATTTTTTTCCATATAACACTGATTGGAGTTCGATGATTAATTGATTCGCAAAAATTCTGCCAGCCTAAGATTTTTTGTTTACGTAAAGTCAACTTCGTAATTGCAACTTGTCGCTTCATAACAATATAGTTATTGAAAGTGGGATGTTTTCGAAAGGTAGAATAAACTTTTCTTCTTAGTGCAACAGCTTTAGAGCAGATTTCAT